AGAATGTATTTGATTGGTCAATTACCAACCAATAGGATTTTAGCATATATTATGTGCCCCGGTCTTGTCTTCGTAATGGTGAAAACCGCACCTCTCTATCTAGTTCCTATCAAAAGTTATTAAAAAAATGCTCAACCGCCTTTTTTTTGAAAATGGATAATAGTTATGTCATGGAAACGAAATCAAATAATTATTTAGCATTGTAATTTATCATAGAATTACTGACAGTTCCTCCTGTTTATTGACAATATTACGTACAGACTGAAGAAGATACAAAGCAAATATAACGTAAAATCTAGATTAAGTCTACAGTTAATTAATAATGTCCATGCCTGACGGATATACAATTAGTGCATAAGACTAATGTAGAATTATTTATTTCTATCAAATTTTCTATTAACGGATAGGTGTCAAGAGATTAAAAAAAAGGTATGGCAACAAACAGCAAAAAGTGTTGTAGTAGTGAAACAGGAGTCTGACGTCATTGTTGCAGTCATTAAGAAACATATATGACCCATTGAGAGATTCATTTCACTGGTATAGGGTCAAGAAAGTGAAAAATAGTTAATGCCGATATATCAACCGGTTTGGTGGTTTAGGCCAGTATGAGTGCCAATAAGGAAAAAACCCTACCCGTTCCAACTCTAATTGAAAAAATCACTTAACACCGTACTAAAAGGCAGAAAAAGATAAACTCGATTTCAACAAATTTTATATCATTTAAACAATAGTTTCGATTGAATCTGACGAATATTGATTGGTTACAGTTAGCTGTTTATTATTTAACATGAATAATAATATTTACAAGAAATAGAAATCCTCAGAAACCCTAACCACGAAATAATAACGTTTGCGCTCACAACGACCTGTGTAATAGGATAAAAATTGTAAAATGAGAATATAAATTCCTCAAGAAATACTACTAAGCGCTAGTAAGATCTGAAGACTAAAATTTAACATGACCGATAAACTAATGAGAAAAATGCCAATATTAAGACGTTGCGCGAAAAAAAAATTTTTTTCACCAAGAAAAGGCGTCTCAGAGGGTCAACAAGCATTTGTTGCGCAACACCACGGTGGTATATCGAAAATGACCGAAAAAATTAATAGCGCAGTTTCCGTACAGTCATTTATTTCTCATGATTTTATTTGGTTTACTAACTATTTCAAATGTACGTCAATTTCAACGTCTTGTTCAATCATTACAGTTACAAAGTGTCTTGTCTACTATGAATAACTCATCAGTATCAATTATGAGAAATACAGAGCGAAAATCAACACAGAGAATTGATCGTAGTCTTCTTCAAATGCTTCTTGTTCAAGTTTTGCTTCTTGTTGTTTTTACTCTTCCATTGTCTCTTGATAAATTTTATTTATCTTTCTCAGAAGACAATGGATCTCCAATAGAAATGGCTATTAACGCCTTCGTGTGCGATTTATCAATTTTGGTTTATTTTATATCAAATGGCATACCCTTCTATATATACACAATGTGTGGTGGAGCTTTGTTTCGAAACGCATTGTATCGTTTTGTTGTAATGATGAAACGAAGAATGATGTATGGATAGAGTGGTGTATTTTCAATAAATAAAAGATTGATCATCACTAAATTGTCACTTGGTCATACAGATCTAATTAATATTTTTCTGCTTGTATCTATACTGCATCTTGAATACCCTCAAGACCCTATTGTTGAAATGATATCAATACGAAACATACTGGAATCCTCGTTTTCTTTTTGATAAATGTCAGTGAAGAAATCATTCTATAAAATCTGATTGATGTGATGCATATATAATGGCTAGCTACTTGTGAAATATGTTTATCTATCGCGTGTCATGGTTTTTCTCTCATATAGTTTTTTTATGAAATGAAAATAGATGACTTCAAACAATGAACAATATACGCAGAGATTATATCTCTGTGGCTTGAACAAGACAATAGCGGCGGATGAAAACATTTTCTCTATCTATTCCGAAGAGAAGAAAAAATCAAATGATCTACATACAAAATCAAACGAGTATTTCTACCATATTCTTTAGAGGGGAAGTTTACGAAATTTTCACAATATAATGTATATTCCTCGATTTAGTTTCGGCTCGAGAAATTTTTCTTTACATAACTTAAACGGCAGATGTTTAACCCTTTAACGGGCAAATTTAGGATGGACAAATTCTGTCGTTGCCAGTAATGCAGTCAGATAGACGGTGATCTAAATTATCATGCACAAGGGCCAGGTCAACAATACTGGAGTACTGCACGTGTGATACGCCCATTTAGAGAGATTTACAGAAAAATAATTTATTAAGAAGTTCTGATACAGCGGGAAAATGTATTGCATTTTTTGATTCATTGGGTTGAATTCTATTTTACGAGTAAAATAGAATCTGACGTACCAAGTTAGTATACGGTAAAAAAAAACTACTCGGTTTATGATGAGAATAAGCGCATATTATTACATTGAGGAGTAGACAAAGTTTGAAAAAAAATCAGAGAAAAGCTTTTTCTAAATCAAAAAGAAAAAAAAAACAAAATGAAACCAGCAAGAAAAATATGACTATCAAAAGAAAACTATTACTTTAGATATGAATATGAACATTTTACATAGTGTGGACTAAGCAAAAGCAGTTTCTTTCAATCAAGATGCACAAAACCAAATTGCAAGTTGAATGAGGCCACTGCAGTATAATCACTCTTTCTACAAGAATCATGAATTCTCGTTTATTATAGTTCTGTAATCGAAAATAAGAAAGTGATACATATTATGACCGCCGTTCATTAAAGGATTAAGACAATTTTGATGAAAAGAACTACATTTCTCAACTAAGAAAGAAGCTTATTCAAGGTTCATATGTAATATCTCACTACTGTTCACTTTCTATCACACGTTCTCTGTTACAAATGTAATTTACTAGGAATATGAACTTTGAATCAACCAGGCCTCAGTGTTGTACTCAGTTCCCGTCAGGCATTTCCGCACAGCGTTTAATTGACTTCGCTATTATTCTCATTCATGCTCCAAGAATTTCACGACATAGTTTGTGATTATGATAGTTTTTACAAATATGCATTTTTACATGGGATTGATGTTTGTCACAAAATGTTCTAATTACAATTATACTTTTGAAAAAAATGTTTTATCATACACGATTGATCGTCTTCACAAAGCATCTTATCATCATAATATTATTTCTAAAAGCTTACGCATTCATTTGTAATTGATGTGCTGCACGAAATCGTGTGATGTTATTGCACTCTCATAATACCTTTTCACACATGGTTCGTTTTTCTACTGAATAAAATATTATATCTTTAGTTAATTTTAATCTAAATAGGTTCTATAACACCGTTTGGAACTAAGCATTTCTTATCATCAGAAGTTCTATATAATTGATTTAGTTTTCCTAAACCATCCTCTCTAGAACGTACCAAAACATAAACACTGTTCATATTGTACAGCTATTTATTGTATAAGTTTAGTAATTTAAAAGCCTTGCAATACTTTCATAACGATAAGACTTTCTTGATGAGATTCAGTGCATTGATTAGTGAGTAACTTAGTTATTGCAAGCATTGGTGATATGTGCCTATACCTAATAGTATCGTCTGAAATACAAATTAATTATAACTCTATGAATGTTTTCTCGTTTCTAATGAAGAGCCCTTAAAAAGTCGTAAACTTCGCGACGTTTTGGTGGGTCTCTTTTAAAACATTCCTTGAAAACATGTAATAATCTGTCAAAATGAATCCGAAAATAAAAAGATTAAACACATTGGAAAAACAAGAATGTAAAAACAATGTCGTTTACGATAGTGTTACAGTATTGTGATAACGCAAAATCAGTTCAAAAGTACGTCTTCCTTAGTTCAGGAACGAGATAAAAATATCTATTAATGTGAACGTTCTACAAAAGATGAATTTTTATTTTTAGACACAATATATTGATCTTTTAATTATCTCTTAGTCAAATCACATCATCAGTTTGTTTTCCAACTGAATATGTCAATATTCTCATTTTTTTTTATCGAAAATATCCGGAAAAAAAAACGCTTCACAAAAATATATTATTTTGCAATGATTATTGTAATGAGACAACATTATCTTTTCAATGTGAAAAGCCAAATGTATCATTTACTAGCAACCATTTGCTCATTCACTGTGAATAGATGTTTTATCACATTCAGTTTTTGAGCTCATCGTTCCAGAAAATAAGAAATTTTGATGCACGTATATACAAAGAAAAATAGATTTAAAGAAAGAAAAACAGAGAAAAAACTATAGAGAGAAAACTTTCAACGAACTACTATATAAGTGCTTCTCATCTTTAAAAACTCGCATCAGTCTATATCAATGTTGTGCTTTGCATTCTATTAATTAATAGAACTTTTTATTTGTGATTCAGTGTAAGAAAAAGTCTTAACCTTAGCTCACTATACTCAATTTGGCATATATTAACTCCTATTTCAAAACGGTAGATATGAATTTTTTACTTATCCTCGGTATTGAAACGAGATAGCTTAAATATTTTTCTAGAGCATATATTAAAATCCATTACGAAAGTTTAATATTCTCTATTGATATGAGATGATTCAACTTATATATACTCATTTGAAAGTTTCCATTCAATTAACAACCTAATTACTATTGCTATGAGCACCCAAGAGATATCCTGCATTTCAGGACAAATTTTAGATCCAAAATACATTATGAAATTTATGTTTTTGTTATTTATTTTTCATAGAATTAAACCTAATCTTTTTTAAAGGCTAAAATGTCAGAGTTATCATATAATGAATCTCTCATCAACATATTAGACAACATCTCAACACAATTCAACCGTTATGCCTCGATTTTTATTCTTCTGTTCGGTGTTATCGGAAACATACTCAATATTCTTGTTCTCTCACAACGATCTTTTCGTTTTAATTCATGTGCTTGGATTTTTCTGGCTTTATCTGTTGTTAATCTCATTTCTATCTTATCTGGTCTTATTACAGTAATGATCGGTGGTTGGACGACCAACCCAGCTGATTATATTGGATTTATTTGCAAACTTCGTGCTTTTTTTGTATTTTCAACAAGAACAATTGCTCCGTGGTTAATTGTATTAGCCACTGTTGATCGATGGCTTTTATCAAGTGTCGATGCTCATCGTCGACAAAAAAGCACATTAAAAGCTGCTCAACAATGGACATTTATTATTGTCTTTCTTTCAATTCTTCTCTATGCTCAACAACTATATTGTTATGAAGCAAATCTTATTGATACTCCTCTGCGATGTTATGGGAAAACAGTTGCATGTCGTTTTATCACTGATTTATCATTTGCTGTAATGACAATTATACTTCCTTTAGTTTTCATGATTTTATTTGGTGTGCTAACTATTTCAAATGTACGTCAATCTCAACGTCGTATTCAAGAATTACACTTACGGAATACGAAGCTTACATTGAATAAGTCATCAGGATCAAATAATGGAAATACAGAACACAAATCAAAACAAAGAACTGAGCGTAGTCTTCTTCGAATGCTTTTTTTTCAAGTTTTACTTCTCGCTCTTTTTACTTTGCCGTTGTCTCTTGACAAATTCTTTTCAACGTTCTCAGGAGGCAATGAAACATTGGTAGACGAGGCTATTAACGACTTTGTATATGATTTAGCAATTTTGTCTTATTTTATATCAAATGGTATGCCCTTCTATATTTATACATTGTGCGGTGGAACTGTGTATCGAAAAGCTTTGTATGCTTTGCTTATGCTGGTGAAACGAAAGATGATGCGTCGATAGAGTTATGAACATTGAGTGAATAAAATATTTCTTAACAATAAATTTTCACTGAAGCACACAGAGTTACTTTATTTTTCTGTTTCATTAACATAGGTGTTACTGAGAATTTAAAGTTTTTTACAATAGAAATGGCTTTGTCTTTGAAGTCGATTCAATTAGACTATATAAAGTAGATTAATGTTGAATTTAAGAAGTTTTCTTGATTAATATATATTACACGGTATATTGTATATATATATAAGTGTTTCAGAAGAATCCATATACACCAATGACAACTGAATTGTCATGGCATTAGCAATTCAATCTCTCTACTTATTCACCAATGTCATGAAGCACTACAATGAAAATTTTTCTTTTTTGTAAAATCTGATTGATATGATGTGTAAGGCCGTAAATGGCTTGTGACGTTCCTTACTGTGTCGCATATGACTAAATGCTTGTCTTCTAGTTTTTTTCATGAAATAGAAATAGACGATTCTAAAAAAGAAGTAATAAATACATAGATTATATCTATCTGGCTTGAATAAGATAATCACGTCGGATGAAAATATTTTCTTTATCTATTCTGAAAACGAAAAAATCAAATGAGCTATTTTCAAAATCACATGAGTATTTGCATCATATTGTTTAGAGGAAGCTTATGAAACCTTGGCAATATAATGTATATTCCTTGATTTTGTTCCATTTCGAGAAGTTTTTCCTCACATAAATTAATTCGCAGATGTTTTAAATAAGACTTTCATTCTCATCTTATCATAATCGATAAATTTAATTGAACTATTACAAATTTAATTAAAAATATGCTTGAAATGTAGACTATTTATAGTGTTTCTGTATTCCAATCATTGATTTTCATCAGAAACATTTACTTATGCGTCTTATGGCAATAAATCACAGGTAAAATATCTTATTAATCATATTTATATGTCTGATATGTCTGTGTATATTTAAGGAAAGAATTTCTATATCATTCTCGTATGATAATCTTCACATTTTATTAAACAATATATGAAAATAAAACACATTGTTATTTGCTAATTTAAGTAAATTTGGCGCTTCCTTACTTTATCTATCGCTAATCTTATCATAATTTTATCTATGTTTATTACACAAGTGAGAACTGGTCGTACTATTAATCCAAAAGATGCTATGGTAAGATTGTTTCAACTTCATGCTTTTGACATGTACATAATTTGGGAAGGGTTGACTATCAATTGTATCGATTCACAAAACAATTTTCTTTCATTGCTGGATGTTTCTCTTAAATATAATATTCAATTTCGTGCCGATTTCTTTTAGGATTTGACTAGTAATATGTTAGCCAAAAATTTTGAATTATTTTTGGTTGTCTTATTGTCCAGTAGAGACTCACTCAGCGCGACTACAGTAAGATTTATCATCTAAAGTACTTTTGAACAGATGGAAAATCATAGAGCTTTTCAACTCAAAAAGAAACACTGGTCATTAATCAGACGTGAACTACAATTATCTCGAAATATTAATTTGTGTCTGTTTACAAAAATATTTAGGTCATTTCAGTGTGAAAAATTAAGCGTAGAGTTCCAACTAACAATACCTGATATTGCAGTTCTAATCGACATTTAAATTGAGTGAACTTATGTTTGTTCCATACATTTTTCACGACCTTTTCTTTTTATTGACAATATTCAGTTCGGGCTTCCCTTGGATATAATAATCCAAAAGAGACATAAATCATATCGCAAAAAAAGTATGTTTAACATTTTCCTCAGTAAAACGATTTTTTCCATTCTGGAAAATAGTTAGATTTTTAGTGCATAAAAAATTTCATTAAAAACGACATGAACGTATTTTGAAAGAAGTTTTTTTAATATCTAAATCAAAGCACAGATGTAATACTCATGCGTAATACAAGATTATTATGTGAGCAATAAACACTGAACATTCAACAAAATGAAATCAAAATATGATTTTAAACAAATGGTTCTATTATGAGAATGAATCCTACGAAAATGTTAATCATCATACCTGTGAATTATTATTATGCCCTGTGTGTTATTTTTCTAACGGTTATTCGATTTGCCAATTAATATTGATCGCCAATTGCCTATTTATCATGCTCTGAAAAGTAGGCTTAGATGATGCGTATTATCTAATCGAAATGTCTCACATTTGGCTTCCAAATCATTGAAAGCTCATGATATGCTATCCTCTTTATGATCATATAACATCAGACATTGAAATTTTAAAAGAATCTATTTGGATTCTCATACGTCATCGTCTATGAGACGATTCCACGGTTCAATATAACACTTATGAAAAGAATTACATTTCTCAACTAAAGAAGAAGCCTGCTCAAAACCAAATTTTCTGGCATATATGCACTGAGTAAAAGTAAGTAAACTGTATTAGTGAAGTGTATACCTTCGAAGAGTTGATGTCTTTGGAAAATAATTCTATGTGCTGTATCAGATCGGTCAATAGTTCTAGTGATAACCTGCTTGATTACTAAACCATACAATCGCCCATGTTTGTTAGAACTTGTTTTTATAGATTGAGTGTTTCTAGAAATTTTGAATCAAATGTTTTAGAATAATAAATATCGAAAAACATTGTTGTATCACTCTGATCTTAAACAATCGCATCACGTCAAAACTACTTCGAGAATAATAGTATTTCCGAAATTTTCTCTTACAAAAATGTATTAGGGAATTTTAAAAGCAACAATTTTAGAGGCCTCTTGGTGATCTCTACTATCAAACCATATCTACAAATTAACAAAAATGTTTTTCTCAAAGTTCGAATCGTCCGACATTTCACTCTGATCTACATAGTTCGTGGTTATTTTCTATGCAACTTGTTATAGCATTGTTTTTAAATATAATTCTTTCCTAGTTTTTCAACATGTTTTTCATTTTCTTCCTTTTAAGGTTTGAATGATCCACATGTGCATGATTCTCGACTTGCAGAACTAGGTATTCTAAAACCGCAATCAAGTTTAGGAAACTTATAACATGAATTGAAATGATTAGGAAAATGTTTTTGAATATCTTTGATCATCTTATCAAGTTTTTACCATTGAGTAACAGTGTGCATAAATGTGAAAAGTGCCTCAAAATGTAAAAGTACTTCGAATTATGTAGAACTAATTAAAAGAGTGTAAAACTAATGTCATGTATAGGGAAATACTTTTCAATTACCCAAAAATACTTTAAAATACTTTGGAATATGAAATATGTTCTTTCTCTATTGATGCTCTGACAATTATACCAGCAATATATTCAGAAAATGAACAACTTTTAGAATTAAAATCATGACGTTCATTAGATGATCATTGAACTTATGATCTAGATCAATTTCAACGTCAATTAACTCTTATTTAACGAATGAGAAGCGATAAAAAATTAGAATTAATGATTGAATCGTACAAGAAATGAAGACTATATAGAGAAGCATTTCCAATACTCAAGTCTATGACAAAGGAAGCACTTACAGTACATGTTTTATCAACATGCCAGCCTAGCTTCAGAAAAATAAAGCTTATCAAGCCATTCAAAAAAAAGTAATGAATCATTTAAGACTGATCTATATGTGTTTATTAGCTACGGAAAGAGATTCTGAAAAAAAGATTGATACTTCTTTACATGAAATTCTGCAGATACTGGAAACTTCTTGTGTTGAACATTATCAACAAATAAGTTAAATATTCTCACCACTGTTCAATTTCTATCACACGTTCTTTGCTCTAGATATATATTTGCTAGTAATTTGAACTTTATAATCAACCCATGCCACAACATAGTACTCACAGTCCAACTCATTTTCCGCACAACATTTTCTTGACTTCGCTATTATTTTCATTCATGCTCCAAGAATTTCACGATATAGTTTGTGATTATGATAATTTTTACAAATATGCATTTTTATATGGGATTGATGTTTGTCACAAAATGTTCTAATTACAGTTATACTTTTGAAAAAAATGTTTTATCATACATGATTGATCGTCTTCACAAAGCATCTTATCATCATAATATTATTTCTAAAAGCTTACGCATTCATTTGTAATTGATGTGCTGCACGATATCATGTGTTATCTTTAAATTTACTCCAACAATACCTTTTAACCTATGAATCATTCTGCTGCGCAATACAATATCGTTTGGAACCAATCATTTATTATTATGAGAAGTTCTCTATAATTGATTTAGTTTGCTAATCTGTAATGGTCTTAGTCTTTCAGCATATAAACATATAACTGTTGAAACCAGAAGCTTGATACTGTTTTCAAGAATCATACAATTATAAGTTTGATATCCTGCATTGATTATTTAATTAGACACTAATTTGACATCGTTATTTGCAAAGAAATTGTTTCTGATAAGTCATAAATCAATAACATATGATGTCCGTCAGAACAATCCTTTCTAAAACGTAAAATAAACAGGAACATCGTTCATGAATATAAGTAAGATACGAGATGAACAACTAAATAATAACCAAGTGAAATGAATCTTGTAAATTCAAAAAATTCATTATATGCTTTACTAGCACATCATTTGCTGATTTCTACTGAAGGGATGTGTTAACATATTGTGTTTCCAAGATCATCATGCTATAAAATGAAGATTGTTGATGTGCACGCCTAGAAAGATAGAAAATAGAGAGAAAGAAGCATACAAAGAAAAGAGTCACGAACCACTATATAAGTACTTCTCGCTTTTAAAAAGTGCCATCATACAATCATAAGCTTCCATAATCTTGCAAGCATACGGCTTTCTCTTCCGAAAAATGTCTCTATTTGCTCAAAACTTATTGTATATCAGTCAGCCTATCGTTTTCCTAAAGTTACAATTCTTTGGTAAAAAAGTTTTTTTGTGAAAAAATATTTCAAGAGGATCTTGACGTTTACTTTTCCAAGAATTTTGGTTGTGAATGATTTTGAGCATTATACCATTCGGCTCTGCTTAATGTCCTGATCCATAATATCGCCTTAATTTTTGTTTGAAGTATGTTATGGATGTCTACAATTAGGCTTGTAATCAACAACCTGGTATTGTCGAGAAACCTCTAAAATAGCATTGGAAAAATTTTACGCGTTGATGCTATTACCATTATTATCGTGATACTGTATGGGTATTACGTAAAAACTTGAACTCAATCAGAGATCATCCCTTTGTAGGATTTACAATATCGGGGATTGTATGTTTTTACAAAGATTTTCCAAATAGAAATCCTTTGTTTTCCATTCTACTTTAATTCTTGTTAGAATTAGTTTTTTCTCAGAAAAAAACCCTAATGGATCATGTTCTTATGATATGTCGTTTATCTGTAGTGTTGTGTTATATTGCCATACGACTTGCTTTCTTGATTTATATGAATTTGCGCGTTAAAGTTATGGCATACGTATTTCTGAGGTTCCATAGAATTTTAAGAAGTGCTATTCCAGAAAATGGTAAATCACATATATATAATTGTTTATTGAAATGGTTAGATTCAAGAAAATAAATGATTTTGATTAAGTCCGTCCGACTCTCCAGTGTACATCAGTCTACAGAAATGCTGTGTGCAGCGCCATATTACATAATCGATCTTTTGATTAAAAATCTAGTGTTCAAAAAGCCTTAACCTTGTTTTAATTTTCTCACTTTCTGCCAGCGCCAAGTGGTGTTTTAAAACGGTAGAAAACTATTTTTTACCTATCCAAGTTTTCATTGAATTAAATTCTAGTTACTGTTGCTACGAGCACTCTAGAGATATTATCTAGTGTCAGAAAATACTGTAAATCCAAAATACATTATGAGATCCATTCTATTATCATTTATGTTTCAGTAAAATTATATAAAGTTTCCTTAAAAACAAGTGTGTCTGCGTTATCACATAACGAATCTATTATCATATTATTAGACAATATTTCAATTTGATTAAGTCGCTCTATTGCAGTTTTAATTTTTTTATTCGATGTTGTAGGAAACATTCTCAATATTCTTGTTCTCGCAAAATGATCACTACGTTTTAATTTATGTGCTTGGTTGTTTCTGGTCTCATCTATTGTTAATCTTATTTCTATTCTATCTGGCCTTATTACACGAATAATTAGTGGTTATATGATCGATCCAGCAGCCCATTTCGGATGGATATGCAAACTTCGAGCTTTTCTTGTATTCACAACAAGAACAATCGCTTCATGATTAATCGTATTAGCCACTGTCGATCGATGACTTTTATCAAGTATGGATGTTCTTCGTCGACAAAAATCACGTTAAAGAATGCTCAACGATGGGCAATATTTATTGTTATTTTTTCAATCCTTCTCTATACTCAACTTTTATATTGCTATGAAGCAAATCTGATTGATACTCCTCTGGAATGTTACGGTAAAACAATTGTATGTCGCTATATCACTGATTTATCATTTGTTCTAATAACAATTATACTTCTTTTATTGCTCATGATTTTATTTGGTTTGCTAACTATTTCAAATGTACGTCAATCTCAACGTCTTGTTCAAACATTACAATTACAAAGTATCATGTCTACTGTGAATAATTCATCGGGATCAACTAATGGGAACACAGAACAAAAATTAAAACAGAAAAATGATCGTAGTCTTCTTCGAATGCTTCTTGTTCAAGTTTTACTTCTTGCTATTTTTATTCTTCCATTGTCTCTTGATAAATTTTATTCATCTTTCTCAGAAGATAATGGATCTTCAGTAGCAAAGGCTATTAACATTTTTGTATACGACTTAGCCATTTTGATTTATTTTATATCAAATGGCATACCTTTCTATATTTATACATTGTGTGGTGGAACGGTGTTTCGAAAAGCATCGTATCATTTTGTTGTAATGACGAAACGAAAAATGTTGTGCCATTAGAGTTATTTATTTAGAATAAATAAAATATGTTTGATTGACCATGAATTGTCAATGACTCACATAGATTTAGTTTATATTTACGTGTTTTATAAACATAGAGTTTAGTGAAAAGTCGCAATTTACACAAAAAAAACGATTTTGTTTTTCAAATTAATTCAAGTCAATTATATAAAATGGGAAACTTTTGAAAGTATTTGTATCTTCAAATAACAACTGGGAATTTTCATAGTCTTAACTATTCAAGCTTATTACTTAGTCACTAATGAGTTACATCAAAAAGGAAAAAGCGAATTTCAGCATCCACTATTTCTTCTTGGATAAATCAATGTGAACATATTTTTTGTAAAATTCGGATGACATAACATTTATGATTTACAATTGCTTGTAAAAATTTTTTCTGTTAAATTTGTAGCTAAAACCTTATCTTGTAGTTATGGGTGTGGGAGTTCGTGTTCCTAAATATTCCTTTTTCAAGGGACAAATGCAATTCCTAAGCTTGGTTCTCTAGTATTTATATATCTATCGAGATGTTCATATAGCTTTCTCTATTTTATTTATGTGAGGCTTTTATTTATTCCAGGTTCTCAGAGAAACAAAGAAAGACCTCGCCTTCTCATTTGTAGAAACGGAACATGAAAGCAGCATCCTTTCTTGTAAGTTTCATAGAATAGAACGATATAACTTCAAATAAAACGACTAATAGATAAATACATTACATCTCTCTTGTTGAGTAAGACAATCACGTCTAATGAAAATATTTCTTTTGTGGGTTTTACAAAACTAAAAAATTCAAATGATCAATATCCAAAATCAGACGCATACTTTCAATATATTCTTTCGAAAAAAAATATAAGAACTTGGCAATCTAATGTTGGTCTTTGATTTTATAAGGCATGATTTAAAAGGTGCGTTGAAGTATTGAAGTAGAATTTAGCGGTTTAAATCCCATCTAGTTGCGATGTAACAGACACATTAGTAGCGCACTTTTTTACCCATCACGACCTTGGGGTAACACCTTTGCAACGTCTTTTCTCTGTCACAGATCATTCATAATAGATACTTTAGTATTGACGTTTCCTTCTCAAGAACCATCACTGACCTACTTGCAGGACCAACGTCTACTGTTTGCTAAGCATGAAACACACTTGAATTTAAGATAAAAAACCCTTTGCTCTTCTTTCACATTAACTGCAGTATGTTACGTTGATCATCATTCATCATCAACATGTATCAACATTAGGTAATAATTCACGTGGCGAAACCTATATTGGTGAATTTCTTTTGTTTGGATATCAGCAGCCTCGTTGTTTTTTTAATTTGCTTTGTATTTCTTCCATGTACGTTTTAAACATAACTACAGAAAAACCACTATTTATCGTTTGCTTAATAAATCTATTCCATAATTGACCGTCTTTATACATTTTCTTATATTGTAAACTAATTGAATATATATCCGGAAAAGGTCTACCAAACTCGTTCAATTCTTGTGATAATCGATAAATGTAGTTGAATTAATGTACATGTATTGTACTCACCGATTTTTATCAAAGACATTCATTTCTTTTTCATAAAGAGATAAATCAAAAGACAAATATTACAAGTATGATATTTAAATTTCTTTCTCATCTGCTTATATTCAGAGAAAAAATACCGATATCATCATAATATGATTATCCATTCATTTTCTTTAACAATATCTGAAAGGAAACCAATTCTTATTTGTCAATTTGTACCTCTCCATTCTGTATTTTTGGAAATAGTCTCAACATTCTTGTTTCTTCAAAAAGAAACTCTTCGTTCAAATCTGTACGCCTTGATATGAATCGCTTTATTTGTTTCTTATCTCATTGCTCTTTTATCTATTGTCACTATACGAATAAAAGCTTGTTGGAATGTTGATGCAACAGATATTACAGCATTGTATTCATGCATTAGCTGTTTTCCTTTGTCGGTAAGACTACAAATGAACTAAGCACATATTTAACTCATCAAAAATCAAATCTATAAGAAATAAATGCGGAAACTTCGGATTTAAATCCGAGAGTTATGTGTACTTCAAAAAGTGAATCATACAAATCAATCATCCTAGACTATCTGAATATCAAAATTATACTATGAAATCTACCATTTAAAATGTTGATTTATATTCCGCGTCGCCAAACCAATAGCATATGGGACCGAACTAAGCTCAAGTTTGAACTCTG